GCACCAAACATCCAGGGTTAAATGTGCCAGGTGTACATTTTGTTGTAACCGATGTTTCTTTTGAATAACTTAGCAATCAGCTTGCAAATCGCCATGTTTGTTGGCACGTTGGAAACGTTATTTCATTACAATTTTAACCATGGCTTGTACACACCTCAAGAACGTCCAAAAAGTTCCGCTGTTACGCTTTCTCAACGCGCGTACAGAGCTCGCAGCCAACACAATTCGAAGTTTGGTGGCGAAATTCAATGTCAGTAGTTCTTAGGCAACATCGAAACCAAAAAAAGTTACTGCCGTAAGTGACGATATTCAAGATTGTCATCGGGGGGGTGAAGGTAGGTAGTTTCTAAAAATCGGCAATTCCTACGTCACATTCGTGCCATGCCAATTCTCCCACGTTTAGGTTTGACAACACCGTAATTTTCATATATCACACGTTTCCGCGTTTACTGGTAATTTACCCCCTGTATTGCCATGTCTAATCTCTCCGTATTATCCTTGTCTAGAAACAAGTGAATATACTTCCTGCCAAAACTCGTATTTTACCAATAATCCAAACAACTTCAAATTTCATATATTCCCTAAAGATACTGCACCGTGTGTATGCTGGAAATTTTTATGTATTTTTAGGTTATTTTTGTTATATACTATCAATAAAAAAGCAGTTCACTTCTAAATTTGTGTTTTATTTCTTATTTTTTAAATGAAAAAAAGTAAATAACAAAGTTGACCAGTTCAAATTTCGAGCCTAGTTATGCCATGCAAAAGTGGGGATAAAATGTGTTGCTGTGATTTTAACATGTAGTTGGCACTTCTATATATCTGTTCTGTGAGCGCCATCAAGTTTCCGTTCGGCGCCACGCTCAGTAGTTTGGCCACTCTACTATGTAGCCAAATTTAAAGTTGGATTTGCACGTATTCCCTTACAAAATATAAATGACTCAACATTTATTGCCAGTGGATAAGCCGTGACGCGTTCAATACGGCAGAACCATGTACGATATCCTTGCTGGTGAGCCTGATTTTTGGAACGATGTGATCATGACTGACGAAGTACATTTCACACTTTTTGGAACCGTTAATACGCAAAAGATTCTTCAAAGACAACGACACGATGGTGACGGTCAATGGTGAGCGATATCGGACCATGTTACGCGATTTTTTGGCAGCTGAACTCGAAGAAAATGACATGGAGGACTATTGGTTCCAGCAAGATAGTGTAAAATGCTATACTACTCGATAAATAATGGATTTGTTGCGTATCATGTTTTCAAATCGATTGATATCGAGAAGTGGCGATTACTGGCTGCCGCGTTCGCCAAATTTGACAGCTGAGGGAGGTCACCTACCAGACATCATTTTCAGAAAGTGACTAAACATATTGTACAAGTCCAAATTTCAATAAAATAATCGCATCCAAACAAAATATTGATTTGTTTTCAAGTTATTCAAAAAAAAACTTCGTTTACAACAAAATGGTACACCTTGTACAAAATTCATTTGTTGGGACCATCAAGCGAAAGTGTGTGCTTCATGTTTAGTAATGCGACTTATAGTCGTTGGGCACTTTTCTAGTTTACTTATGTATGATTTAAGTATTTTTTTATATTATTTTGAAACAAAACACTGAAAAAGTTTTACTTCTAGATCTAAATGTAGTAGGAACATCATCGTGTTGCTAATTAATATTATCGTAATCGATATTTCCAGATGAATGTCTTTGATTAGATTTTGATTTTTTACTTTTTTCCTAAAGTATGAGATCCTTGTATTATTATGGGTTTAGGTGCGGGGCTTTCTAAAGTTTGGCTATTCATTCCTTCTCCTTTATGGCCGATAAAATACTCAAAATACTCGGGTGATTGGGTTGGGTTGGAAAAATTTTTCAAATCTTTAGAAGATCCTTGGAGACCAACAAGGAATGACTTGGGATCCTATTTGGATATGTCCTAGAAGCTCTTCAAAATACTAAGGTGATTGGGTGGAGTTGGGTTGGAAATTTTATACAAATCATTAGAAGATACTTGGAGACCAACAAGAAGCATTCCAGGAATTCTTGAAAACACTCCGAAAATCGTGATGTTCCATCCCTAGACTCCTTATAACTGCGGATGAATTTGAAATATTCTGGCACATATTTTAGATTCCAACTCAAACAACCCTAAGAAATTCCCGACAACCTTTGGTAATGGTAAAAATCCTTAGGAATGACTTTGAATCCTGTTTGGATATGTTCTAGAAGTTCTTCAAAATACTAGGGTGATTGGGTGGAGTTGGGTCGGAAATTTTATACAAATCATTAGAAGATACTTGGAGACCAACAAGAAGCATTCCAGGAATTCTTGATAACACTCTGAAAATCGTGATATTCCATGCCAAGACTCCTTATAACTGCGGATGAATTTGAAATATTCTGGCATATATTTCAGATTCTAACCCTAAGAAATACCCAACAACCTTTGGTAATACTGAAAATTCTTAGGAATGGCTTGGAATCCTATTTGGATTTGTCCTAGAAACTCTTCAAAACACTCGGATGATTGGATTCGGTTGGATTGGACAAATTTTTCAAATCATTAGAAGATACTTGGAGACCAACAAGAAGAATTCCAGAAATTCTTGAAAACACTGCGCAAATCTCGATATTTCATAGCAAGACTCCTTATAAATGCGGATCAATTAAAAATCCTTAGGGATGACTTGGAATCCTATTTATTTATTATTAGACGAAGAAGGTACTTGAAGACCAATAAGAAGAATACTAGGAATTCTTGACAACACTCCGCAAATCTTGACATTCCATCCCAAGAATCCTTGGAAATGCTTGTAAATTCCTTACCAATTCTTAAAACTTCTAGAAAAAACGTTGCGACCTTTCAACTCCTTAAAAAGCTTAAAATATCTGTGTTGAATACATTTGAAAATTTTACGAGAATCTCCTTGAAAATCTTTCAGATACGTTAACCACTTGGAAGGAAATCTTCTGGACACCTTCTAATATTACATGGAAACTCTTCGAACTGAAGCAATGCTTGGAATCATTTTAAAATCTTTGAACAATTCTGAAAATGCGTGAATACTATAACAAATTCTCAGGAAGTGCTTCTAAAGTTACTGGAAATATTCTAGATAGATGGAAAAAAATAAACCAAATTCTATTAATACTTAATTATATTAAGGATTACATTGCAAACCTTTGAAAAGCTACAGCTATCAGAAACAAATTGCAGGAATCCTTATAAATCCAGGATAATCTTTGGATGTTTGTTGTAGAAACTCTTCATTTCATTCTAGAATTTCTTAAGAATTAGATAAACCTTAGGAATCATAGAACATTTTTCAAATCGGAAGAGTAAAGTCGGTAATGTTTGTGGGAAGAAAATAATGACATAATCTTTTGATTTGAAAATGATAAGTTTTTTCTTAGGCCAGCAAGAAAATATTCTAATGGTTTCTGTTATATCAAGGTTTTACGGTACTTATTTGCAATAAAATTGTAAATTTTAGTTTCAATGAAAATGTAATTATAATTTCATATTGAAAAATCACGTAGATCTGTAACCGAAGCTTGACGCTAATTACATCAAACAACGGCGTGTTTCTGTCGAGCTTCGGTGCGGAATCCCTCGGGATTGTTCCTCGAGGGCGCGTTCCAAGCGAACAATAACTCGATAGCCGAGACGGTCTTGACTGTGGATATGTGTCAAGAAGTTACCGCCGTGCTTCGTCTCAGATGCTCGCGTTTAGGTATTTATCCTTGTTTATAGTTTCTATGCTGTCAAACGATCTTATTATACACTTTTCTTAAAAACAATATAACGTCACATCATCACTTTTTTTTTTTACTTACCACCAATAACGTTTCGTTTAACTCACAATACTGAAATGAAAACCATTAATATGCTATATGACGGTGTTTCCCAAATCTCGAGGATGCCCCACCGAATCGGACTAAAAATAGAACGCGCAAAATATGTCCAATCCAAACAATTTCGGGTAAACCTCGCGTTACCCATCCATCCCAGCCCTGTTTTATTTTCTTTGTTTTCTTTTTATACACTCATAGTGCAGATTGTTCGGAAGTAATTACTCGAAAGTGGATGTTTGTGTTAACGTAATTCCGAAAGCTGGCCAAACGCGGAGGCGTAAGAGTAAACGGGCTTGTAATAACGTTAGCGCTTCGCGTAAATATTATTAATGATCAAAGTGGCGCGACTCACTATCGTAAATATTGGTTTAATTATTCGGCTGAATATAATTTGAATCAATTGTATAATTTGTTGATTAACTCAATGAGATATAGACCCGGAAATTGTACCCTAAAGGGTCTAAAGCAGCCCGGGATAACAAAATTATCAGCATTGAGATTGAGTAGAGCACTCATTAACAATACACTCTCCCATTAACTCAATCAACCGTTAACTGCACTTAACACAAATCTCAAGTAATTGTCATGGATTAACTTGCACTTCTATTTGAATTGAGAATCGATGAGTTTGATTTGGTGGTAAGGAGCTAAATTTAAAGCCAATTAAAATGGAATAAGGATTCTCCATGTCTTTATTACTTAGAGGGGGCTTAAATATGTATAGTTTGTATGTTGTTATTTAGTAAATAAATTTGTTAATTATATAAAATTAACATACTTAGTGTGAGCATCAATTTATTTAAATGTGCTAACGTTACGATTCAATAACAAACCACACCATTAAAGCGCAAATAGGAGCTATTTGACAGTCATGTAATTACCGACTTTCCATTAGTGACATTATTCAAGAATTGCTGCCTGCTGTGGTTGATGTTGACAGTGCATAACGTGAACAAACGCGCGGTCAGCTATTTGAGATTTCAAATGAAGTGACCGCAGAATGATTGACTTCATTACCTTGTTGTTGGACCACTGCCATTTGTTAACACACTAGTTTGGATTTGCAATTTATAGAAACAAATTGGTTCTGTTCTCAATTTTTAAGTCTAAAATTAATAAAAAATATACTTACATCTTTCGAATTTTCGAAATAATTTATGTCACAAGACATCATCGTCAATCACTGATCACCATCGTCACTGAAACAATTTGTTGAGGATCGTTTATGTGAAGTGAATTAGATTTTTTTAATAGAATGAGATAAAGATCGCGCGTCAGTTGACGTTCGTGTCAAATAAGATATTTTGAGATAAAGTTGCAGAGGAAAGAGAGTGATGCGTCTTTGGTGGCGGCGCCTGGCAAACTGATGCATCGGGAACGATGACAGGATCATCTGGGAAAGCGACCAGCCCTCGCAGGAACGGCGCAGTGGCCTCCAGTAGATCGACCTGTTTCTCCATGGCAACCCCCGAAACTCCACGAAACATCAATTAGTTTCACGTGGTCCCCGATTGAAAATCGGGGGCATAGGACCACCTGAAACTTTCCCTGTTGCGTACACTTTTTTTTAAACTACATAAAAACAATATAAAACTTAACACAATTACTTTCAATCATGAAAGTTTAAATTAACTTTTCGAATTCTATTCGGGTTAAATTTTAATTGCCTGGATAATAAGACGATCTGAAATAAAACTTGAAGCCGTAAATCCACTTAAAAACGAATCGCAATTTTCCAGCATTAATTATTTTATGATTGAAGAAAGACTTTCGAAACTCAATAATCCTCCGGCGAAAATGTTTAAATATCTTTTTTATAATTCTTAAATTCGCGAAGTATGCACTTTAACCGCAAAATTTTCGCAGAGAAAATTAGATCCGGAATGGTATTTTCAAATATTTAACATACCAAGGCGAAACAATTCACTCGGTTTAATGAAATGAATAAGCAAAACACAGCTGTATTCCTGGAAGTTTGAATTGTTAGATTACCACTGAACAAGTTCCATAAAGTAAACGAACCAAAAATAAAAACAAATAAAATCGGTACAAAAATAAGTCAGATGTTTAAATTAAAACTAAGTTTATTTTGTTAAAATAAAATACAATTCTATAGTAAAAACTCGATATAACGTATCTCGTTAGAACGGATATAACTAAAATAATTATTGAACTAAAACTAGAACTAACACTAGACCTAGAACTAGAAACATTCGGGTTTAGCCGCGTGTCTCTTAAGACGGCTAAACCTATATGTTTCTAGTTCTAGGACTAGTTTTAGTTTTAATGCTGCTGTTAATTCTAGTTTGAGTTGTTATTCAGCAGTAGATTATTGTATATTTTTCATTGAACTAAAACTAGAACTAACACTAGACCTAGAACTAGAAACATTCGGGTTTAGCCGCACGTCTCTTAAGACGGCTAAACCTGAATGTTTCTAGTTTTAGGTCTAGTGTTAGTTCTAATGCTGCTGTTAATTCTAGTTTGAGTTGTTTTTCAGCATTAGGTTATTGTATATTTTTCATTGAACTAAAACTAGAACTAACACTAGACCTAAAACTAGAAACATTCAGGTTTATCCGTCTTAAGAGACGTGCGGCTAAACCTGAATGTTTCTAGTTTTAGGTCTAGTGTTAGTTTTAATGCTAGTGTTAGTTGTTATTCAGTGCGTCTCTTAAGACGGCTAAACCTGAATGTTTCTAGTTCTAGCACTAGTATTAGTTTTAATACTGCTGTTAATTCTAGTTTGAGTTGTTATTCAGCATTAGATTGTTGTACATTTTTCATTGAACTAAAACTAGAACTAACACTAGACCTAAAATTAGAAACATTCTGGTTTAGCCGTCTTAAGAGACCTGCGGCTAAACCCGAATGTTTCTAGTTCTTGGTCTAGTGTTAGTTTTAATGCTAGTGTTAGTTGTTATTCAGTGCTAGTTGTATATACTTATTGTACTAACAGTAGAAATAATACTAGATCTAGAACTAGAAACATTCGGGTTTAGCCGTGTGTCTCTTAAGAGAGCTAAACGTGAATGTTTCTAATTCTAGGACTAGTGTTAGTTTTAACCCGTTTTTGCCCAGTGTTCCAATATTGGAACAGTAACAGTTTTACCCCACCACTTCCGCATTTTCGCGGTTTTTTGCATTCTGCAGGTCTCATCTTGTCCGTCATAGTCTCATACGTTATTGGGAAGTGTACTACATTGTTAGAATTCACCCGTTTGCAAGTCTCACAGAGTTTACCGTGCTGGTGTTTATAGTGCAAAAATGGCTGCAAAGAAGTAAGTATTTTTTATAATTTTCTGTAAATAATTTCAAATTGTTTTTGTACTAAAACATACTATATTGTCTGTTGAATGTTTGCTATAAATGATGTTGCCAAATTTGCATGCATTTATTATGGTAATTTACCTTTATTTTGGAATGTTCCAATTTTAAAACACTGGGAGTGATTGGGTGCACTCTTTCTTTAGGTACTATTCTACCAAAGAGCTTATTGATTTGGTGGAAAGTTATGAGTTTTGGGAAGCAGACATTTATATTACTCCACCTAATGATGGAAGAAACTCTGAGGAAGATAGTGATGATGAAGAACTTCCTTCACATATAAATCATTTGAGTGGATGACAGTTACAAGCGCCTGCGACTGTAAATTTTAGACAATTCGAGCCGCACAATTTTAGCCGCACGTCTTTTAAGACGGCTAAACATGAATGTTTCTAGTTTTAGGTCTAGTGTTACATCTAATGCTAGTGTTAGTTGTTATTCAGTGTTAGATTGTTGTATATACTTATTGTACTAACACTAGAAGTGTTAGTTCTAATGCTACTGTTAATTCTAGTTTGAGTTGTTATTCAGCATTAGATTATTTTATATTTTTCATTGAACTAAAACTAGACCTAGAACTAGAAACATTATAATATTAACAGTATAATTAGTGATGGGCAAATGTATTTACTCTCCTGGAAGGTAAATATTTGGTAGGGTATTTTCCCAAACTTAAAATACCCAGTTGCAAATTGAGTATTTATTTTCTCGGTCAAATTCAGAATAAGCACTCAGGGAAGCCTCTTCGTGTCCATATCATGTCGCGCTGTTCGAATGCATGCGTTTGCATCGGCTCTTAATTCGGTTATTCCCCTAAATCTATAATCCTATATAATTCGGGTTTGGGACCTGTTTGATAATGAGCTTGGCAATCAAGTAACTTGCAAATATTGCGGAAAAAAGTACTTTGGCTATGTCAATAAACCAACAAACCATATATTTAACAAATGTTTTAAATTTCCTGCTATGGTAAAAAATAAAATTAAATCAAAACTTCCAAAAAGCACTGGAAATCAGTTAGCAATTACAGACAATGATAATAGTACTAATAATAATACTGTGATTATTGAAACATCGATGACCACGCCCAACATTCAAAGTCAAACTTCCTCTACTTTTTTTCAAAAAAGAAGTGTGCGAGAAACGCAGGCTGTTTTGGATTCATACCTTGATAGAGAATTAAACAAAAAAGACATAGTAAGTACAAAAGGCCATATATGTGAGTGGTTCTCCCTTGTCAATAGTCAGACACCCTTTGTGGAACGAATTTTTTTAAACAACTGCGACCTACCTCTCTATTACTAAACAGAAAGCAAATTTCAACCACTTTTCTGGACAGAGAATACAACGATATGAAGAAAAAGATTAACATGTAGTTAGAAGAAGCTCAAAATTTGCATTTACAGTGTGATGGCTGGAGCAATATGCGTAATGAAGGTGTTATCAATTTCGTTATTACAAAACCTGAGCCGTTCTCATGAATATGAACCAGCCCACAAATTTTTTGTAGTGATTGGTAATAACGCGGCCAATATGACAAAAGCGTGTAGGCTACTTAATGAAATATATCCTCACTTGGTACCTTTAAGATGTTTGGCACACACACTGCATCTTTTATGCAATGATATTTTAAGTTCTCCCTCAATCATACAGTGTATTATGTTCATGTTTTGTCTGCTTTACTATCCGAAATAAATAGCAGCAGGAATTGCAACATAAGCCTTAAATTACCTTGTAAGACTGGTCGGGGTAGCTATTTATTCAGCATTAAAAGTCTCCTTAGAAAAAAAAGTTGGTTTACAAACGTTAACTGTACACGAAGCAGTTATCACTCTAACTAAGAAAATAAAATCTCTTTTGTTGTACGACGATCATTTTTGGCATAAACTTACGTGACATTTTAAATCCAATTTTGTCTTGGATTACAGTTCTTGAAGGAAATTTGCCTTTAATTCATAAGGTTGATAGTGCTCTTAAAGAAATTGAGTCTGGTGTCATCAATAAACTTACTGATTTTTTAAGTGATGATGAAGAATGTTCGAACTTGATTAAAAAAATTAAAGTTCGTAAGAAGTTTGCTACGGGCCCTATACACTTGGCTGCTACAATGTTAGATCCAACCTCAAAAGGTTGCAATCTCTCTCACGAAGAAGAAATTGACGCTATGGAATTTATATATACTGTAGCCAAGCAAATGAAACTAGACGTTATGGCTGATTTTCAAAGTATAAGTCTAATGAAGGTTTGTGGAGTAGAGCTTTTGTATGGGAAAATACAATCTTGGCATCGATGAGGAATTATCGTTGTGGAAAGGACTCTGCAGCAGTACTACATTAAGCAAAATTGCTGTTCGTATTTTGCAACTGAAAGATCGTTCAGTACTTTCAGCTGGATACATAGCAAGAGATGCAATCGTCTTGAAAGTGAAAGAGCAGGAAAGCTAACACATATTACGTACAATTGGAAATGAAACAACAAAATTTTTGGAGATTTGTGACTCTGATTCAGAATCTCATTCTGAATGAGACGATCTGTAAATTTTGTGAATATTAAAATAAAGATCAATACCTAGATGTTATAGATGTCCACGTTTTTAGTGTTTTATTTTGTTAAGTTATTATTTTTTTATTATCTTTACTTGCTTAAGCAAGAAAATCTCGAAATTATGACTTTCGAATAAACACCCGATTTTATTTACCCATTTTAGGTATATATCTGATAAATATCCAGGGTAAATACCACAAATATAAATACTGGGTAAATTCCCATCACTAAGTAGAAGTAACACTAGACCTAGAACTAGAAACATTCAGGTTTAGCCGTCTTAAGAGACGCGCGGCTAAACCCGAAACTTTCTAGTTCTAGGTCTAGTGTTAGTTCTAGTTTTAATGATTTTTCAGCGTAAGATTGTAGAATATTTTTATTGAACTAAAAGTGGAACTAACACTAGACTTAGAGTTACTTCTAGTGTTAGTTCTAGTTTTATTCAATATTAGTTTATTGCACATTTTTTTTTGAACTAACACTAAACCTAGAACTAGAAAGATTTGGATTATAACCCACACTCCCTTTCCTATATTAATCCGTTATATCAAGATTTTTACCGTATTTCTTTTATTATTATAACACGATAGATTAAAAAAAAAATTAAAAAAATACAATATCTTCAGAAAAAGCTCCAGCCAACCTGAACTCGTTTCTGGAGAGGATCGCCCTTAAGAATTGAGGACTTTTGTTAGAATACACCGCCGGTCTTTGCGCGACGACCCTCAACACAAATTCCCTTTCAAAGGGCTGAGGAAAAGGAGAATTGGTCGAATGTGACCTCGTTTCGCCCTCATGATCCGCTACGATCATATTAACAACCTTCTGGGCATCCGAGAACATCCCCAACATGTTCTTTCCAATTCTCGAACTTTCTCTGTCCGCAATCTCGACTTCCCTTCCTTTAATTAAATTTTCGGCTAGCCCCCTTAAATCATTATCCTCGCCTCCGGATGGATTGAATTTGTAAAGCAACGAGTTTATCTGTGAAACGCTAAGCTCTAACGCCGCCATCTCTTGAATGAGAACTTCGCATCGTCGTTTCGAAACTTTTCCGTCGCGTGAAAGTCGTTCGCCCGTTTTTATAACTTGTTTGAGTTCGCCGGTAGAATCCTGCAGGTGGATTTGTTGGTATTCTTCTGTTAATCGGTAGATGGCGGTGTGAGAAAGAACCGGAAGAAGAAGGTCGATTATTTGAGATACGTTTCGAGAATGTAAGAAGTGAAGTACCTTTTCGGCTTCTCTGGTGTCGTCGAATAAACGTTTTTGTCTATGAGCCGGAACCGGTTTGGAATTGTTCCAAATTTCCACCCAAGTATTATCCGAAATTAGCATTCTTGAACTTAAATGTCCTTTTTTCTGGCCCCATTCATCTAAACCGTCTTCTTCGATCCAATCCCTTGGTGAGTACCATCGAATAAAATCTTCTAAGATCGAATTTGGATTAGCCGCTTTAAATGATTCCATGTCGCTTAATAAGGAGGCGCTCATTAATTTTGCTCTTAATTCGGATCCTTGGGCATCCGAACCAAGTTTTAACAAAACATCTGTGTCTTCTTCAAGTTGATCTTCCGTTTTTGGAACCGGTTCCTGAGTAATTGGGATGTACAAAGGTTCCCCGGTTTTAATCAATTTAAGATCTTCGAATTTTCCCAGACGACCAACTGGCTGATTCCAAGAAGAATAACTGTGCTTCTTTTTTACAGGTTCATCATCAATATTACACTCGAAAAATTCTTCATCATCCGTCGATGAAGAAGCTTCCTCCCTGGCAGATTCAAATAATTTACTCGCTTCCGATTCTCGGGCTGATTTCCTTTCAATACAACAATTTAACATTTGAAGTTTTTGATGTAAGAGGTTTGTTCTGGGGTCGGGGAACCCTGGCGATAATCTGAAACGAAATCGACATGTTTTAAGGACACATGTATCAGATAATATCGGATAATTATTCTTTTGTTCTTAATGGAGATTCAATACCGATTTGGTGTCATTACCGAATGAACGAAACCAGAAAATCGATCTAATGATAGAGTTGAGCAAGTGTGACTGACTGAACTTGATCTCGTGTCGACCGTGTGTTACATGTTACATGGAGAATGGATATTCGAGTCAAGGTGAAACTATTCTAGGAATCAATAAAAAATGTTGGAAATTGAATTAACCAAGTTAACTTTTGTATTTTAAAAAAATTTGAATCTTATTTTTTGAGATTTCTTATTACGCGGTGTTACAAGAACTTGAATCCACTTGTATACTTAAACAAGGCGTGTCTTTGCACGCATTCCTTGGTCCACTTACCGCCGCATACTTTTTTTTTCAAACGAGATTTACATTCGTAATAAGCTATAACCATCACCGATTCCTTTCTTTTAATGCCGACGGTGAAATTATTTATAAAAAAAAATAATTGTATATATGTGTACCTTTATGTTATTAACAAATAAAAGTAATGTTTTTGTGAATCATCCAAAGATTGATTATAATTAATCATAAAAATAGGTAGCAATTTGCACTTGTGTGACGACAGCAGCAAACTTTTATCCTTGTTTTTTCACCTACTTCATAAGCCGATATCTTCATTGTCTTTAGAGATAGCTAAGTACACCACTTGAAAGCCTCTTTGAGCTATCTAAATCTGAGATTTGCCTGGTCAATATCTATCGGCGCTGGTCAAAAATTAGGAGTAATAAAGAACTCAACACATAGAAACTGTATTTAAGTGTTTACATCATAACTTTCTTATATGATACTGATAAAACTGCAATACCATATAGAATCGATGGGAAATTTTCTGCTTTATATGATAGTATATGATATTAATTGATTAGTTGATTGCACCAGTAATTTCCCCCCTAAAATATAAGAAAATCGGGAATAATTGCTGTATTTAAATGTTTAGGATGTCAAAACATTCTTATACGATACACACAAAACTCCAAGATCATATAAAATCAATAAAAAAATTTCTTCTCCATACGGTGGGATATAACAATAGTAGATAGCATGGTTGCACAAGCACTTCCCCCCAAAAACTGCATAAACTACGTATAATTGTCGCATATAAACGTTTACGACGTCATAACTTTCTTATATGATACAGCCAAATCTTTGAGACCATATAGAATCTATAGCAAAATTCCCGGTCTATACAGTAATATATAACTTTAATTGATCACAAAGTTGCACAAACATATTCCCCTCAAAAACTGCACAAACCGTATGTACACGTTTACGGCGTCATAACTTTCTTATATGATACGGACAAAACTCCGTGGCCATATAGACTCCATAGGAAATTTTTCGCTCTATACAGTGGTATATAATATAAGTAGATCGCATGGTTGCACAAGCATTTTCCCTCCAAAAACTGTAAAAACCACGTATAATTGCCGATTGAAATGTTTATGGCGTCATAACTTTCTTATATGATACGGACAAAACTCCGAGACCATATAGAACGTATAGGAAATTTTCCGCTCTATGCAGTGATATATAACTTTAGTAGATCGTATGGTTGCATGTGCATTTTCCCCTCAATAATTGCAAACAGCGCGTATAATTACCTTATGTAAATGTTTATGGCGACATAACTTTTTTATATGATACGGACAAAACTCCGTGACCATATAGAATATATACAAAATTTTCTATTCTATACAGTTTTATACAACTTCAGTATAGACCGCATGGTTGCACAAGCATTTTCCCACCAAAACCTGTAAAAACCACGTATAATTACCGATTCTTCATAACTTTCTTATATGATACAGACAAAGTTCCATATAGAATCTGTAGAAAATTTTGCGCTCTATGCTTTGGTATATAACTTTAGTAGATCGCATGGTTGCACAAGCATTTCCCCCCAAAAGCTGTAAACACCACGTATAATTACCACGTAATTATACGGGGTAATTACCGATTGAAATGTCTATGGCGTCATAACTTTCTTATATGATACGGACAAAACTTCAAGACCATATAGAATCCATAGCAAATTTTCCACTCTGTACTCAGAGAAACTCGGAGCCTGCAATATCTTCTAACTGTTGTTAGACTAACTTTTCACGAGAAGCTAATAATGGTTTGTTACTCTTATTTTTATATTTATTTTGAATTTATGGTACTTTGTAGTTATTATTATACACTTTATGACAGAAAAAAAATTAAAAACCCAATGGTGTCATTATTATGTTTTTATTACGAGTTAGGGGGTATTGTATTTAAGTTAATTTAACATCCTTGAGTTCCTGAAGATGTTTCCATTTATTTGCAGAAATTTTGCATCTTTGAGCATGCAAACGAGGATATTCAGTGCCCTATCTATCCACTCGGCATTATAATCTAGGTTTACTTGAATTTTTGCATTTTCGTATTTTATCGTTTTATGTCGGTAACCGTCGGATCATCTTTTTGTCTGCCAGGGCGAATTGATGGGTATCTAAAATGTTGAGTCAAGGAAAAGTTGGCGAAGAAGCTGTATGGTAAATCCACGGCTTCATAAGGTTTAGGAGTTTGGCGTGCTTCTCTGGTTACAGAAAGATAGTCGCTGGGTAAATGTATTTCACGATTTTTTCATTTTCGTTCTATAGCCGCACTCCATAAAGGTGTGTCCACTTCCTAAACACTTTTAAAAAATGGTCACTTGGTGCTTCATAGAAAAGTTAAGATGTGCATTAGCGATAACATTGTTGCGATTCTGGTATGTACATCCATCCGAGTAAATTATAATTGGTACATTGCTTGGAACACATTTTTTCTCCAGATAATCAAGTAGACAGAAACAAAAGTTGAAGGTTTTAGCTCATTGTTTTGATCTTCTGAAAACCAATAACAGGTAACGTTATGGGTTTTAGGTCATAAACTGTATAATTGTGAGTACATAGTTTTGTTTTCTAATAAAAAGCACCAGCTTCTAAATACCGGGCTAATTTTACAGCCTGTAGATCACACAAAGCGATACATAACACCTTTCATAGCAATGTTTTTGTCAAGTTCTTTTTCTTTACGTGCTCAGTCTTTTCTATTTCAATGTATTCAGCTTCAGAAAGATTTCCAGTGTTGTATGGAATTGGTATCTTCACAATAAGTTCTATATNATAACTATTATGTATGCAACATGTCCAAGTGTAGATTTAGCTAAATCTTAACAACATTTATTTTAGTTGGTTTAATAAAAGAATCCAAAAACAATAAATTTAAAATCAACAAAAAATAAACAAACAAGACTAACAGGAATAATAAAAAAGTACATAAAATAACAAGACAAGTAATAAAAAATACTAAAGGAAATGTTCAAAAACTTAGAGTTCTTTTTTTCTAGTGCTACTATTGAAGTCGGAACCTAACATTTTTGTATTTAACACGAAAACGTTGATTTTTATCAATATTATCTAAGAGTAATAAAAGTTTCTGAACTAAATTTACTATTAGAAACTGCAAAAATAAATGTAGGGTTATAATAGTATAAAAAAGTTCTGAGCAAACAAACTTTAGGAACAGCCTGTATAGCAGTGTTCCCAGGGACCGATCTAACTGATAAATTGCCTAACGATTTTACATCACATTGATTTATACAGTACCAAATTTCATCGTTTTACTGTAAATAGTGTTTAAGATATTTGGAAAAATGTGCTAAATTTCTTAACTTTTATGGCCTGTATCTTTGAAATTTGAAGACTTTTACTAATTTTTTTTTTTGTTCCCGAGTCACCGAAACATCTGTATAATCCTTAATCTTAACTTTAAATAGTATAAACAATATAAATTTTCATTAAGAGTTAGAAAAATTACCTACTTACCTCAAAGCAACAAATAGCACGTGAAAACACCTGTTTCTGTGTGTAATTAGGGGGTATTGTGCGCAATAATAGCGTGAATGTATTAGGAAGTATTGCATTAGACTGATTTAGAACCGTTCGAATTTTTTTTTTCGGTTAAGAGAATTTGCCAGTATTTAAATGCCAGTTTAAACAAAAATGTCAGTTAAGATATATTGCAGGCTTCGAGTCGATATTCCCCTCAAAAACTGCAATTATGGGCAAATAATTTATTAGGCATGATTTTCAGCCGATGCCGATAGATACTCAAAATTTGACAGCTCAAAGTGTGTACTTTTCAAATTGATAAAGCTTATTTTAGCTGAAAATGTTTTAAATGAAGAAAAGATCAGGCTTTCTAGTGGTTTATTTAATATTTCGCTATTTCTAAAGACAACGAAGATATTAGCTTGTAAATTAGGTGAAAAAACAAGGATAAAAGTTAGTTGCTGTCGTGGCACGGGTGCAATTTGCCAAATTACAAATTGAAAGTAATTAGTACAAGGCGTATTTCTTATTTTACTGTTAAGTGTTGGATCTCTTCGTCTGAATCGCGAGGTTTTGTCTTATAGACAGTACCCGGCGTAGTGGTACTAACGGATGGTAGCAGGTGGTATCGAAGAAATGTGCCAGTATGATTGTGGAAGTCGTCTAAGACACTGTTAGGCACCTTTCGAACGCTCTCAGTTATGAACGTTTGAGTATCGCGATATTTCAAAGTGACTTTTAGTGGTTCTCTTGATCTTTAAGTGTTGTTTTATGGAATAATAAATTAAAATTTTTTTTATAAAAAGGTAAGTTTAAATAACTCAAATACCTACATAAATGTATTAATATTAATATTTAATAAGATGAGGTAACAATCACATTCTTGAATGACTACATAATACAAAAAATAACCTCATCTTGTATTCTTGCGAAAGATACTCTACATGGGCGTGTACGAAATACCTTGAAAGCTAAGTATTTAACTTGTACATTTTACATCACGATCGACGTTCCAATAGACAAGATAATACGGGTATTAAACTCGTTAATTTCTTTCCGTTTAACACTAAAACAATCAACGTGTTTG